AGAAGAAGTCGTTTGAAGTTTTTGACATATTTGACCCCTGTGACCTTGAAAACAGGTCAAGGTCATTTTCGTTCTCAAACTTTGTAGGGCTCCTACCAACGAAGCTTTCAGCCAAATATCATGACTCTAGGCCTGTCCGTTCTTCAGAAGAAGTTGTTTAAAGGAAAAGTTGACGGACGAGGACGGACGGACGACGGACGCCGCGCCACGGCATAAGCTCACTTGGCACTTCGTGCCAGGTGAGCTAATAAAAAGATGAAGAAGGCAGTTTGGTTATCTGTGATAATCTGTCTAAACAAAACATAACACTAACTCCAATATCAACTTTTATCAAATACAAAAACAGACAGAAAAGAAGATTAAAAAAAATATATATATATTTAAAGTGTAATATTTAGAAATTTAAGAAGTCATTAAGTAACTTCATGAAGTTATTTTGGGACAATCAGTTTAACAAGAAAACATTAACAGTGATCAATCTACAATTTATTTCCATCGGTCCTTTTCAGCTGAATTGCTAAAAACAATGGGTGCCACAATGTTAAATTCAAGTATTTCCAGAAATTCTATGACTCCCATCAACATTCTATGAGTATAGGGCTCAGGACTCATATGTAAATTTATCACTGCATTAAAATAAACCTCCAAAAAATATCAATTAAGATTTTAGGTTCTAGCCATATCACTGTTCTTGGTTTTTTTTATAATTACAGCGTATATGACAATTGTAATGTTTAATCTCTAGTCATGCCAGTTCTACTAGGTTGCATTCTACTACCTTATATAAGCTCCATCTGAAGTTCGATTTTCAAGATGTTAAATTAAGTTTTCTTTATAAATTACAGATATCAGTGATAGGGTCTTTGTAAACAACATGCAAAGACCCACAAAAAGCTGGCCAGCTATCAGAGACATTAATGAAAAAAATCAGTTAACATTCACCTTGAAACAATTCTAAGGACAAGAAAGCTGTGCAAAAGGTTTATGGTCCAAAATCAATGGTACCAACACACGACCAAGTTAAACAAGGTTGGTCTAGATCTACTGCTGAAAGGGTCTGTATTGTAGCATTGATTATATGGACACTGCTGACTAAAAGGACACCATACATGTACTGTGATCAGTGCTGCAGGCATCATGGTACAGCTAACAGGAAGATCAATATCTATCACAGCTTCCACACACTACACATTACGATAACAAAGTCAGTATCAATGGTCCCCACACTACACATTACGATAACAAAGTCAGTATCAATGGTCCACACACCACACATTACAATAACAAAGTCAATATCAATGGTCCACACACCACACATTACGATAACAAAGTCAGTATCGATGGTCCCCACACCACACATTACGATAACAAAGTCAGTAACAATGGTCCCCACACCACACATTACGATAACAAATTCAGTATCAATGGTCCCCACACTACACATTACGATAACAAAGTCAGTATCAATAGTCTCCACACCACACATTATGATAACAAAGTCAGTATCAATGGTCCCCACACCACATATTACAATAACAAAGTCAGTATCAATGGTCCCCACACTACACATTACGATAACAAAGTCAGTATCAATAGTCCCCACACCACACGTTACGATAACAAAGTCAGTATCAATGGTCCCCACACCATACATTACAATAACAAAGTCAGTATCAATGGTCCACACATGTACACCACACATTACAATAACAAAGTCAGTATCAATCGTCCCCACACCACACATTACGATAACAAAGTCAGTATCAGTGGTCCCCACGCCACACATTACAATAACAAAGTCAGTATCAATGGACCCCACACCACACATTACGATAACAAAGTCAGTATCAATGGTCCACACACCACACATTACGATAACAAAGTCAGTATCGATGGTCCCCACACCACACATTACGATAACAAAGGCAGTATCAATGGTCCCCACACCACACATTACGATATCAAAGTCAGTATCAATAGTCCCCACACCACACATTACGATAACAAAGTCAGCATCAATGGTCCCCCCACCACACATTACGATAACAAAGTCAGTATCAATGGACCCCACACCACACATTACGATAACAAAGTCAGTATCGATGGTCCCCACACCACACATTACGATAACAAAGTAAGTATCAGTGGTCCCCACACCACACGTTACAATAACAAAGTCAGTATCAATGGTCCCCACACCACTCATTACGATAACAAAGTCAGTATCAATGGTCCCCACACTACACATTACGATAACAAAGTCAGTATCAATAGTCCCCACACAACACATTATGATAACAAAGTCAGTATCAATAGTCCCCACACCACACGTTACGATAACAAAGTCAGTATCAATGGTCCCCACACCACACCTTATGATAACAAAGTCAGTATCAATGGTCCCCACACCACACGTTACAATAACAAAGTCAGTATCAATGGTCCCCACACTACACATTACGATAACAAAGTCAGTATCAATAGTCCCCACACCACACGTTACGATAACAAAGTCAGTATCAATGGTCCCCACACCACACGTTACAATAACAAAGTCAGTATCAATGGTCCCCACACCTCACATTACAATAACAAAGTCAGTATCAATGGTCCCCACACAACACAATACAATAACAAAGTCAGTATCAATGGACCCCACACCACACATTACGATAACAAAGTCAGTACCAATGGTCCCCACACCACACATTACGATAACAAAGTCAGTATCAATAGTCCCCACACCACACATTATGATAACAAAGTCAGTATCAATAGTCCCCACACCACACATTACGATAACAAAGTCAGTATCAATGGTCCCCACACCACACATTACGATAACAAAGTCAGTATCAATGGTCCCCACAATACATAGAACCATGACAGATACATGTGGGTTTTTTTTAACTGAAATAGGGGGAATAATGCTGAAATGGGAGAAGGGAATTGGCCAATAATTGGCCATAAAAATGGCCTGTATTTGTCCATGCTGAGGCCCACAGGGCCTGTGTCACTCACCTCAACATTTTTGACAAGCAATTGTATATATGGCTATGGGTTGGGAATCTCAACCATTTTAAAGTTATGACCCAGAAATTAAGTCCCTAGAAGTGGGGCCCGACCCAAGGTTCAATACTAATATCATGTTTGTGGTCTACTCTTCATGCCAAGCAATTGTATTTATGATCATTGGGTGGGGATTTCAACCGTTTCAAAGTTATTGCTCAGTAATTTAGTCACTACTGGTGGGGCTCGACCCCGGAGTCAATTCATTATTTATACCTATCAAAGGTATTTACGATTATGGAGTCGGGATCTCAATGGTTTCAAAGTTATAGCCAGAAATGATGGTACCCAAAAATGGTATATATGGTGGGATCATGACTAATTATCTCTTCATGCCTAGCTTTTAAATGTACATATGGTTATGGGGAGTGATCTCAACCATTTCAAAATAGCCCAAAAATAGGTCCCTATGGGTTGGGCCAACCCAACAGTCAATATTAATATCATTTTTATGTTCATCTCTTGATGCCTAGCAATGGCATATTGTGATTGTGTGGAGATTTCAACTGTTTTAGTTATGGCTCAGGAATTAAGTCCCAGTGACAGGGTCAGACCTTAGGGTCATTTCTCATATCATGATTGTGTTTGTCTATTAATGCTCAGCAATTGTATGGTTATAGGGTGGGTATCTCAATAATGTCCAAGTTAAAAATTTGTTTTGGCTCTGCCCCTTCGACTCAGGGGTCAGCCCTTTAAATGGTACAAGTTTGAATCTTGAACCAAATATAGTTGATATCCATCACTTTGTTATAGACCTAGAGAAGAAGTTGTTAAACAAGCAGTATGGCTAAATAAACCCTTTTAGGCCCATCCCTCAATCACACAGGGGGTCAGCCCCTCCATTTGTTTAGTTTTGAATCCTCACCATCTGAGAATACCTCCATTCCGCTTAAAGCAACATGGACAAATAACCCTTTATTGGTCATATCCCTCAGCAGTCTAGGGGGTCAACCCCTCCATTTGTACAATTCTGAATCTCTACTACCTAAGGATGATTCAAACCAAATATGGTTGATATTCTTCTCTCAGTTCCAGATAAGTCTCTAAATCAATATGGCCAAATTACCCCTTTGGGAGTCAACAATCTATTTAAACAATTTTAAATCCCCACCACCAAGTGTCTCCTGACACTATGCCATACATCATCAAGTGACAATCTTGATTTGTCCATAAAAATAACATTGTTCCACTCCTGTATGAAAATGGGTTTTTTTGTAGTGAAAGGTGCTTCATTGGTTATTGGGCTTCGGTCATGCAATTGGTTTCAGATAGTGCAGGCGAATACAGGGTGCACAAAAGCTTTAAAAATTCTTGCGCTAGCCCTGCTGAATGTTTACACTGTTGTTGATAAATTTTAATATCATATAGTTGTTTCAAATGCGTAAGTTATCTCAATGGAAGTATTTCTTATGGCACCAGTAACCATAACACTAATCATTGTGGCATCAATGACATCTGTGGATTCTGTAAAACACAAAGGACTCGGAGATGTTGAATATCACCATACAACAATTATATTATAATTTATAAGCTGACAACTCATTGAACTTATCACTGAGATTGTTTGGGATCTTAACAATTAAACTTATACTTCTGCTGGAACCCTGGCGAGTGCATTTGTATACCTCTGCTGAGTGAAAATGATCTTAAGCTGTGTGCAACAAAATCTAGGTGTGAACCTTGAATACAAACGATCAGTAAATCATAATATCAACCAACTGATTTATTGTATAGTCAGCATTTTTTGTAGAAATTTTTCGGTCAAGTCCTGAACATCTGAACAGAACAGCTCCCCAGTACCTACAGGAGCTTATTACCCTGTATCAGCAGTCATTATCGCTGCGGTCGCAGACAGAATCATTGTTATACAGTATGTCCCAAAATATTGTACTGCGACATACAGAAACTGGTGCTTTGGGAGGGTTTCGGCCACGTTGTGGAATGCTTTTAGAAAGTCAAATTCCCTGGTCAAATTCATATATAAGGCGCTAGCTATATAATGCTATTTATTATTATTATTTTCAAATTTTTGATAAGTCCCAATTACTAAGAGTTCCAAATAACTAAGCGGGTGAGTCCAATAAAAGCATGAATCCAAGGCTCATAAACCACTGCTGTTGTTTTTTTTAATCTGACAGTACTGAAGCAAGTTTTATTAGGACATACTATACATGTATATACATCATTTATCAGAATCCCTGGGGGTAGCAAAAGATCATGTCACCTATAAACTCATGTTTACTTACAACATCTAACCCTGATGGCAAAAACAAAATTGTTGCTACACTCTTAACTTAATAAAAGATATTTTTTAATTTTATTTTTATGGATCAGTTACAACAAATTTATCAAGCGAAAACCACACCCCCAAAACTTTGACCAGTATAACTGATAACTGTGAGACACACTATTCACTACATCAAAGTCAGCAGTTCTCTTCTTGTGATTTTGTGCATACAAAACAAAATTATCATTGGAACCAATACGTATTAAAGTGATCCCAGTACTGTAAGCAAATGAGTCAGAAACGTACAAATGTTGAATATCAAACAGTCAATATGGGTCAGGTTTAGGGGGCGTTACAAGGAAGTCAACCCGGAAGGAAACGGACCTACAACTTTCACTATGCCAAAGTAACGAATAGTTAGCGTGAATAGGGCATGCAATCAATAAATAACATTACAAATAAATTAGTTTCTAACCTTCTTCCGGTTTTTACAAAGATTGACAAATACTGTTTCCGGTAGAAAGGGACTGCCAAATCATCGATCTCGTTTGTGGGGTAGACACTGAATTATGGCTATGTAAATAACTTCAAGGATACTTTGCAACCTATGAGTAAAAAGCATGGTCTTAACTAACCAAACCAAACAATTAAAGTGATGATAGAAACCCAAAACATCACAAATCTGTCTCTATACTCCCGAGTGAGGGGCGTGTTTGTCTCCTGGTACTGAAACGAACCGGTGTATCTTATATAAATCTTACCTGCAAATGCTCCTGAAACCGTATTGGGAGCAGCGTTGCCATGTTGTCTGTTCTTTATCCCCTTATGAGTCTTTGCAAACGACGATATTCAGTCTAAATCAAAGATATACCGGTAAAACCGGTAGCTGCGTTGCTGTGGGTTCGTTCGTCTTCTGCCAAGATGGCGGCCACCGGGTGCGAGAGTATTAAAAATAGTTCGTTGATTCATACGCAAATATATTCAACCTAAGTTTTCGAACCAGGCAAATGTAAACAAAAATATTTGCTAGACTAATAGACATGAATAAATTCATATGTATATTTCCACTATTTTTTATGGTATGTTAAATTATTTTCTGTCATGAATCGGTACGACATTACAGAACTTATTTTTATCGCGCATTCACCAAACATGTCCGCATCACTGAATGGCGTCAGAGCTAAGTAATTCATACAGAATTATTTCCGTGTCATAAGTAGAGGTCACGGTCATAGCAGCGTGACGACGAAACTCCAATATAACGATGTCACGTGCTCATGTTTATTTAATGATTGTCAAGCTATCATATTGATAAACTTGTGACCTTCTTGTTGGATGGTTTGTCAACATTATAGTAACATATTTATAAGTCTATAATCTGGATTGAAAGTAAGAATTTTCTGGATTAATTAAATCGTTGATTGTGTTTGGTCTACAGAAACTTTCGGACTTGAGCAAGACTGCTTAAACTCTTAGCTAAATCTAAAATGTTCGGGTTCTATTATTTCAATTCAATTGCCTATTGCTTTGGTTTTCGCTAGATAACTTGCTTTTAAAAAATAAATATCTTTCGATACGCAAAATTCTCACCTAATTAATTAGACTTCTGCAAGACAATTTGCATGTTAATGTTAAATTAATATCGTTCGAATTTGAAGAAACATGGTATGCATGTATACAAAGTTCAAGTTTGAGAAAAATGTATATAAAATGATCGGGTGGTCGGCAAACAAAGAATTGACCAATATAAAATAGAATTTAATGAAAAGAAAGTAAATTAATCAATGAAGGGATGAATAAGTCAAGAAGTAAAGTAAAGAATGAGAACTAGCCCCCTTGTATGAGGAGAGAATGGCAGCTAGCCCCCTTGTATGAGGAGAGAATGACAGCTAGCCCCCTTGTATGACAGCTAGCCCCCTTTTATGAGGAGAGAATGACAGCTAGCCCCCTTGCATGAGGACAATTTTTGTAAGGATATTGAATTCATGGCCCCAATCCTGGCAGTATATTAAAAAAGTGTTGTGGGGCAATAACAAAAAGCTTAATGAAAATGATAATAAAAAAATAATTCATTATTGTACTGAATTCTGATTGTTTGACGGTCTACGTACTATTATCAAATTAAATGACAGGATTCTGATTGATCAATATTTACAATCTGCCAGTAAGTAATAAGCAATAGAAAATGGTGTAAGATGAATCGAATTTTGGCAAAGGTCATAAAGGATACGTGAATATATGTATATTCCTTCAGCTTAAGTTGGTCAATTATAGTATAGTTCTAGGTGAAAAAACCCGTTTAAAGTTCATTTCTGAACCGAATGACAATAGGTACATTTTTCCTTGTTTACCTGATTTACCTTACTATTCATACATCATTTTATACCTCAGATTGGTGTCCACGTTGATAGGTGTAACAAGTGGCATTCATTATATGATATTACGTAGCTGTGTTCCATTGTAGAAGATGTCAGATAGTTTAAAGCTTATACATCAATGATACATATTCCTATTCAAAGTTACCTGAGCAGGTACGTATGTAACTAGCTTAAGGTCAGTAGGAAGATAATTATTATAAGGTAATAAAAACATCAAACAATATTGATACGATTCAGATTTGACCAGAACAAAATATTGTCCCTGGGGCGTATTACAGGTAGACATTTGTTATCAGTTGTAACCAATTATAATTTGTTTGAACCAAATGGCATACAAATATACCGAAACAGTTAAAAATTAAAAGATATATCGTTAACAATGTTCCAAAAGTTAATAAAAGTTCCTTTTAAATTTGTCTCTATTTTTCACAATCCGGCACACCGCAACACTAACATAGACTGTGCGCAATCACAATCCGACACACCGCAACACTAACATATATAGACTGTGCGAAATCACAATCCGACACACCGCAACACTAACATAGACTGTGCGCAATCACAATCCGACACACCGTAACCCTAACATAGACTGTGCGCAATCACAATCCGCCACACCGCAACACTAACATATATAGACTGTGCGAAATCACAATGCGACACACCGCAACACTAACATAGACTGTTCGCAATCACAATCCGACACACCGCAACACAAACATAGACTGTGCGCAATCACAATCCGACACACAGTAACACTAACATAGACTGTGCGCAATCACTATCCGACACACCGTTACACTAACATAGAGTGTGCGCAATCACAATCCGACACACCGTAACCCTAACATAGACTGTGCGCAATCACAATCCGACACCCCGTTACACTAACATAGACTGTGCGCAATCACAAACCGACACACCGTTACACTAACATAGACTGTGCGCAATCACAATTCGACACACCGCAACACTAACATAGCCTGTGCGCAATCACAATCCGACACACCGCAACGCTAACATAGACTGAGGACAAGCACAATCCGACACACCGTTACACTAACATAGACTGTGCGAAATCACAATCCGACACACCGTAACACTAACACAGACTGTGCGCAATCACAATCCGACACACAACAACACTAACATAGACTGTGCGAAATCACAATCCGACACACCGCAACACTAACAAAAACTGTGCGCAACAACAATCCGACACACCGCAACACTAACATATATAGCCTGTGCGAAATCACAATCCGACACACCGCAGCACTAACATAGACTGTGCGCAATCACAATTCGCCACACCGCAACACTAACATAGACTGTGCGCAATCCCAATCCGACACACCGCAACACTAACATAGACTGGGCGCAATCACAATCCGACACACCGCAACACTAACAAAGACTGTGCGCAATCACAATCCGACCCACCGCAACACTAACATAGACTGTGCGCAATCCCAATTCGACACACCGCAACACTAACATAGACTGGGCGCAATCACAATCCGACACACCCTAACACTAACATAGACTGTGCGCAATCACAATTCGACACACCGTAACACTAACATAGACTGTGCGCAATCACTATCCGACACACCGTTACACTAACATAGACTGTGCGAAATCACAATCCGACACTCCGCAACACTAACATAGACTGTGCGCAATCATAATCCGACACACCGCAACACTAACATATATAGCCTGTGCGAAATCACAATCCGGCACACCGCAACACTAACATAGACTGTGCGCAACCACAATCCGACACACCGCAACACTAACATATATAGCCTGTGCGAAATCACAATCCGACACACCGCAACACTAACAAAAACTGTGCGCAACAACAATCCGACACACCGCAACACTAACATAAACTGTGCGCAATCACAATCCGACACACCGTAACACTAACATAGACTGTGCGCAATCGCAATCCGACACACCGTAACACTAACATAGACTGTGCGCAATCACAATCAGGCACACCTTATAACACTTACATAGACTGAGCAGGATATCAAGTTTAGTGTTGTACACAGGCTCCACCCCAGATCGCATGGAAAACCTAGATCTATCGTCGAAGTTTGATAGCAGAAAGGATCGTGATACCCACTGAACCACTCCCACAAGAGATTAATGTACAGCGCACACAGCTCATAGTTCTACCGATCATGAAGGAGACAAAAAGACGTGAATATATATATTTTGCAACCTCCATAACCCGCAGTCTCTTCCGCAGTAGCCGCTGCACCGTGATTGGCTAAGTAACGCGGGTCCCCCATGTACTCTTGACAACCGTCTCTAGGGACGCGAAACAAGAGGTCCCCACTTTGACTCTCGCGGTAACGAACCCCCTGACTTAAAAATAAGTTGTCTGAATGTCTGTGGAATCAAATACAAACCACTCTTTCCTGGACTCCATGAAATTATTAAGTGTCAGGACATTCTAGCATTTCTTGAAAGTAAAACAGACGACCTTGACATTTTTGACCTAGATCTACCTCAAGGCTACTCATATCATGCGAAAAAACAGGTCAAAATTTACCAAAAAACTCTGGTGGAATAGTTGTAATTTTCAAATCCAAGCTGAATCCACGTTTGAAACTATTCTACTGAATCAGAATATGTTCAACGTGTAAAGTATCTGCGAATATTTTGAATGATGATGGTGCTCTACTCATAGGTTGGTTGTACATATATACCACCTGGAAATGCATGGCTCTCTACTCCTGATGTATTTACTGAAAGTGGAAGTGAAATACTGCTACAGCAGAACGCTAGTAAAGTGACACTGGTTTGTGATTTTATTCTTATAATTCCAAATTTGATTTTCTGCTTTGGGCTACGGCCGCTCATGTGGTGTGTAAGTAATTTTTTCCCGTTCATACTTGCATGAACATTGGAAAAGTCCAGATTCAATCCCTATATATATATTATTATGAAAACTGATCCCATAGCAGAGATGTAGTCGTCAATGGACATCAAAACCTTATACATATAGTTTGAAATTACTTGAATTGTGTAAGCAAAACAGTCTATATATTGCGATCGGCAGAGTTGGAAAAGTTGTGGCAATATAAGTGTCATTGATCATTTACTTGTTTCATCAGAAATTCGATTTTGAAGTTCTAGATTTTGACACTAAAGTCTCTGATGGTCACTGCATGATTGTGTTCAATGAACAATGCACGTGAGTCATCGACCCTTTGAGCAAGTTATTAAATGGAAAGCTGAGGAAAAGAAGCTACAAATGGAAAGTTTCGAGATATTGTTGAAAAAATAGACGTATTATAAAAAAAGCCTTATGCTGTAGTAAATTGTTTTGAGATAAATGATGTAGTTGTTTCAGTGAGCAAGTCATTTAAAGATACAGCAACCTTGGTTCTCACGCGAATGCCATATTAACAGATCAACCTTCCGTAAAAGTAAACACCTATATAATGTAGATAAGAATCAGGTAAACAGAATTACTCTTAAAAATACAGATATAAATACAGAAGAACTTTAAATGAGTGCTATAAAATTCATCAAGAAAAG